TAATTAAAAGCTGGGAGGGGTAATTCTTGGACTCGGAAAAAAATCTGAATTTTTTTCCTTTTGGCCATGCCACGCAACATGTGGGATCTTAGTTCCCCAACCAGGGATTGAACCCGGGCCCCCTGCATTGGAAGCGCAGAGTCTTAACCACTGGACCGCCAGGGAAGTCCCCAGAATTTGAATCCTTAAGGCCTATTCTAGACTCGAATACTTTGCTAGCTATTTCCAAGTAGGCATTCAATCATCACCTGCAAACCAACTTGTGCAAAATTATATTCATATTAAAATGACGGAATTTGAGAAAAGTGTACCTTAGAAGTATCTAATTTAGATTATTAATTTTACAGATGAGTAATTTTACAGATGAGTAATTAGTAAGAGACTTGCCCAATGCTACAGATAAAACAGTTAAGCTGGGACCAATGTCTAGGATTAGGGGTTGGCAAAGTACAACCTGTAACTTGTTTTTATACGGCCCACAGCTTAATTTTGCAAAAATGAACAAAGAAGAATATCCAATAGTGACTGTGTGTAGCCCACAAAGCCTAAAATATTTACTATTTAGCCCTTTACAGAAACCCCTGGTCTAGATCAACCTTTTGCTCCAATTACTTCTTTTCACAAAAAGTAGCAATTCTCTTGGTTTTCCTTTACTGGTACCACCAATGTCTTGATCATCTAGGTTCTGTATCTCACAGACTAAATGAATCCTTTTCAACTTTCCAGAGCAAATGAGACATCTGGCCAGCTGATGCCTCCTTCGAAATCTCTCTTGCATCTATCTCTTTTGTGCCAGTTAAACTGCTCTACTCATACTCCCTAGAACAAAGGTTTACCTAACAGAAATGACTTTCTCCTCTCCCTTCTTACTATCTTAAGTCAGGGGTCAGCAAAGGACCTGAAGATAAATATTCTAGGCCTAGTAGGTCATAAAGTCTCCCCTGGGAATACTCAATCTTACTGTACAGAGGAAAGGCAGCCATAGACAATATGTAAATAAGTGGGGGGGGCGCTATGTTCTAATAAAAACTTATTTATATGAAAACAATCACTGGGCCAATCTGCAGGACACAGTCTGGCAACCCCTGATCTAAGCCATACAATGCATTTAAACCCCAGCTCAAGTCCTCTCTGCTACTGAACACTCTGAAGGCTATTTCAGGTCATAGGGACCTCTCCCTGCTCAGAACTCAATTAATTTACTATTTGGCCAATGAACAATATCCATATATGACTTTGTGGAGTCTCTTGTACTGTTGTAACATATAGCTTAACTCTTTTAATTGTGACTGTTTAGCCTCTCTGGGACTCACTCACTGACCTAAACTTGAGGACCCAGTTAAAATAATCTATGATTTAACTTTTCACATGTTATTTGTAAGTTTATAAGGAGTCTAAGGTTAGGGACAGTGTGTTACATACTTCTGCATTGTGCATGACCCTAAAAAAGTACCTCGTATCCATGGGGGGGCTCAATCAAAACTTACCTGCAAATTTTTGAAGCAGCAGGGCCAGTGACTACGCCATAATAGTTAAAAGGGACAGGAGCTGTGGCTTTTAACGGGTTCCTATGAAACCAATGTGTCATTCTCTCCAGGTGTTTCCTATTGACAAAAAACAAATGTATAAAAATTAAAGATAAAACATTTAATAAGCAGTGTAAATCATATTAAAATATTTTTAAAGTAAAAGTTGAAAATTACTACAGGATATATACATTTTAATATAAAACATATATAAAACAGACATATACATAAATAAAATGCCTCACTGCCATACATCAATCTCGTTTTAAGTGTCTGTTTATAGCAGCCTATGCTTAGACCAGGCCTATTAAAAAAACAGCATTTGTAAATGTGCTCACACTAGCTGCAATGCTGAAGATATTGGAGCAGTAATGTTTAAACTTTAATGTGTATAAAAATCACGTCGGGGCAGGAGGTGGGGGCTTCTTGTTAAAATGCAAGTTCTAATTCAACATTCTGGGGTAGGACCTGAGACGCTGATGCTGCTGGTCCCCAAACTACACTTTTGAGGAGCGGAGTACTTGACTTTGGTTGGACAGCTGCAAATGAGAAGGGCACAGGAGCAGAGGAACATGATTCCGAAAGAGGTTTAAATGGTGACCCTTATGTAGACTGCTAAGATTACTTGACAGAAATAGGTTTTAAATTAACTGTATCTCCCACATGATACTGCTGATGCCAACTGATTGGCTGTAGCATGTGTTCTATAATAAATATACTTTCCACAGAATAGCTAATAAGAATCAATATTTTCATGATAAAAAACCCCACATGATACTTGATCAATAAAATCTATCCTTAAAATGGTAAAAAATGGCTGAATTATGAACATATTTAGCATGTGTAACTGAAGAAACCTCAGGTAGAGTTGGAGTTGGGACAGGCCTGTGGGGGGGGCTCTCAGGTCCCGCTAGGAGACCTCAGTTAACAGGAGAGAAGTAAACCTACATCTCTGACAGGAAGGTACCTCTAGGTTACTATCAGAAGGAAGAAGAAAACTTCTCTCCATCCATGGCAGCTCAGCCAGTCAGACTGTAGCAGGCCTACCAATGAGAAGCCTCCATACTCTGGACTCCCAGGTTCCTCCAATGGACTCTCTGGTTATTACAGCCCCTCCCAACTCTCCTCTTTTCCCTATAAAAGCATGCTCCCCTTGCTTGTTCTCTGTATTTGCTTATGGTCACCCATCTTTGCATATCGCTGATTGTGATTTCTCTGCTAGTCCCTAATAAACTCAGTTTAGTTGGTTAAAAAAAAAATAATAATATCTATCCTTAGAACATACTTGTGGTTGACAAGGGGGAGGACAGGTAGGGGAGGGAAGGACTGGGAATTTGGGATTAGCAGGTGCAAACTAGTATATACAGGATGGATAAACAACAGAATCCTACTGTACAGCACAGGGAACTATATTCAATATCCTGTGACAAACCATAATGAAAAAGAATATGAAAAAGAATGTATATATGCATAACTGAGTCACTTTGCTGTACAGGAGAAATTAAACACTGTAAATCAACTATACTTCAATAAATTAAAAACAATAATGTCTATCCTTAAAAACCAAAACATTTAAAAAACTACCTAAGTGAAATGCCAACTTAAAAAAATTAAGTTCCACACCTTTCAGGTTAGAAAAGAAAAAAGGAGTGTGTCACTTGCTTAGAAGTCCTTGGGAAGATACCGAAGATAATACAGGAAGGTGTAGTTGAAGACTTAAATATGGTAATTAGATTTCGGGAAGTGGGAGACAAAATCGGTAAGATTTAATTAATTTGAAAGCATTATATACAATGTTGTCCATGGATTTTTCTTATCGGGGAAAAAAACTTGGTTTGCACAGTGTAAAAAGTATCTACTTTATGCACCTCCCTTACCATATTTATTCATGGCAAAACCTGCTTTGGAGAGCACCAGCTATTTAAGAATGAGGAAACGCACTGTGTATTCAATGAAAAATTGAGCAAGTTCATTTGAGTAACTCAAAACATTTAACAAGTTCTTCAAAAATATATAACCTTCTAAATATCATCCACGTAAATCTCCCTTATAACCTAAGTAAACTAATACTGCATCTCTGTGCATATAAACCAAGCCTCCCAGAGATAATGGCACACAATACACTTGACCGTGACAAATTTTCCACAAATACTCTTTTAAGGCGGCCTCCCACGTCCTGGATGAAAATGTCTTAAGTTCTGTGTATCTTTACTTCAGGACCGAAGACGGTAAGTACCGTGTTCTCTACCCCTCCCTACCCAATCTGTCCGGTCAGAGACCCGCACTCCAGTTTTCAAGAATTCGAAGGGCGGGGGTAAAACGACGACACACCCACCTGTAGGTGCAAAGAAGGGTGCCGTTGAAGCCACCAGCACAACAGTCGGATCGAGGCTGCCACCTAAGCCGAGGCCACAGGAAGAGCTCGATTACCGACAAAGGTTCCCCACTCCGGAGACCCCGGGTCCCGCGACGAACCTACCGCCCCCGAGCTCCCAACGTCCACTTCCTGTTTACCACCCAGCCTCTTCCTCCCGGGCCCCGTCCGGTTTAACGCCGTTAAGACCTTGCGCAGGCGCACACCTTAGCGTGCCCCTCCTGAACAGGCATTTTCGTGGAAAGCCGATACTATCTACCCGGGAGAGGCGGGCAGAAGGTGCCTAAACAAACTCCTATGTAGCCATAAGACCCTCCCCCCGCCCCCAACTGCTAGTGGAGACGCGGGCAAGGCGATTCAGTGAATATAGCTGTTAATACCATTGATTCGTGGGGCTAATGTGAATTTCTTTCTCTCGTTTGTTCCAAGGCACTTTTTACACAGGTTCCATAGACTCCCGGATAGTGGTCCCCAAAAATCTCCTAGTGCCTTGAAACACTTGAAGAAGACTTTTGGGGACCACTATCCGGGAGTCTATGGAACCTGTGTAAAAACCTTGACTCTATTGCTTGGGACTCCGGGGAGACGACAGCGGTAGGAATAGTACTGGGAAACGCCCATCCTCATGACATACTTACCGGATTTCTCGATGTCTGTACAGCACCCCTCCAGAGGGAAGAAAGGCAGTGTCCGAGTCCACAAACGAGAAAGGGAGGGAGTCGCAGAGCCCGGATTACCGAACTTGAGCGACGGAAACCAGGCCTGCGGGAGCCGATCACGTGGTCAGGGCGGCCATGACAGCTACCGAGGCGGCAGTGCGCGCCGCTCTTGGGTTGAGGCTGCCGCGTTGTCGCAGTCCCCTTAAAACACTCCGTTCCTCAGTCCTTTATTAGCTATTGCTCCACAGTCTTCCCTCTTGAGCTGCGGTCTCCTCCAGAGACAAAGAGCAGAGATGGCCGGGCCTCCCACCCCGAGGAAGAATGCCGCAATAACAATGGCGGCCGCTCGGTGGAGCGGGGCGGCCTCAACCTAACACGAGGCGGGGCCTCGGGGGCGGAGCCTCGGCGGGGCGGCCGCTTCAGAGCCGCAAAGTTTGGCTGTGGCGGCAAATGGGCTTGGGCGGCTCCTTGGCGGGTGGTGGCGGTGGCCGTAGCGGTTCCTCTTGGCCCTGTTAATGTCGGGGCCAGGCCCGGGGAGGATGGCGCCCTAGAGCCCGGCCTTGCTGGGGTAGGGGCGGGAGGGGACGGGGTGGGGACCGGCCATGTCGGAGGTGACCCGAAGTCTGCTGCAGCGCTGGGGCGCCAGTTTTAGGAGAGGCGCCGATTTCGACTCTTGGGGCCAGCTGGTGGAGGCGATAGACGAGTATCAGATGTGAGTGACTAACCGCGGGAGCGGGCCAGACCGGCTCCAGTCGGCCGCCTCCCGCTTCTTTCTGTCGGTGTCTCTCATCACTGTATCTGCAGCCAAGGCTTCTCAGGGTGGGGCCCCGCAGGCGCTGGGGCTGAGGTCCCACTGGCCCTGGAGACCAAGGTCCGGTCTCTGGGGTTTTTCGCTCTCCGCCTCAGCAGGGCCAGTTCCGTGCAACAGGTAGCCCTTCTTTCCTGGGGCGCCAGCCCATTCAGGCTACCTACTGAGTTCCTTGCCACCGTCTCATGGGTCCCCCGCTCTGCAGTTTCCTTTTCCCTTCTCCTCCGCCTCTCTCAGGTTGCCGCCCCTCAGTTTCTCTTTTAGAATCTCGGAGAAATACTTGTGTGTTCTCCGCCCACGTCCCCGGGATGAGGGGCCTCGCTCTGTGTACGGTGCCTTCCTCCTCCCCGGTGTAGGGCAGGAGGGAACTGGTGGCGATTGAGGGGAGGGGAGGGGGTGCCCCCAGGAGGCAGCGAGGCCGGAGGTATCTCCTCAGCCCGAAGAAAGGTCTCCTCTCGCGCCCCTTCTCCACCCCTCTTTCTGGGGAGCCGTGTTTTCCCAATTCACCTCGATTCCGTTTCGGTTTCTGGGACTGTTATTTGCTAGGCTGGGTGAGTCCCACCCACCCCCTCGCTCGGTTGCTCTGGGTGGAGTCCCTGCAGGATGTGAACAGAAGAGAGCAAAATGTGAATTAATAGACCACGCACAGGAGTCACCACCGCCTCCTTGGGTCCCTCCTCCTTTTCCTGTGTATAATGTATAGCCGCAGGGTACATGTGAGCACCAGGTTCTTTGATCTACCCAAGTCCGATTTCTTTCCCTTTATGGTTTCCTCCCAAAACTTCAGCGGTGTTTTTAAAATTAAAAGACAAGGTTTGCGTATATATTAAACCTTGCTTATAGTTTCTTGCACATTTTACTGAAAATAGGAATTGCCTGCTGAAATGCTGTTGTTTGCAAACTGTTGCCAGTAATTACTTCTTGGTTTAAAGCAAGTTATTGTTCGAAACCATGTGTAAGTAAAATCCACCCCCCCCCCCCCGCCCCAGCGTCTTTTGGAAAGAATACACGGTTAGTGCTTGGAAGATCTAAATCCTGTATTCTTTTTCTACAATAGTTACTTGTGTTTATCTGGCCATTAAGATAATTTAAGTGCGTGGATGTTCTCTATCTCATCTTACTGACTTTGAACTGCCTGTAGTTTTCAAAAGCCCTGAAAACCACCATGGTTTGGGCCATTTTGCCATGTGTAACAACTACTGTCATTTGTTTTGCACTTTCACTTGATTGCAGTTTACTCTTGCAACTGCTCGGTGAGAATATTATTATTTTCATTTTGCAAATGAGGAAACTGAAGCTCAGGTTAACCGGATTACCTAGGGTCACAAAACTATACTGCTGAAGTCTGGGTTGTTTTTTTTTTTTCCCCAGTTCCAAATCCTGTCTGCTCTACTATGTAGTGTTTAAGGCATTTATTAAAGATGCGTTGTATAAGTGAATTGGACAAATTAGAAGACTTCCTTCATTCCCAGAGAATGTATCCTTCCATACTGTAGCCGGTTAGATAGTGAGCACCCATGTATACTCATTCTGCGTTAACTAAACTTGCGTAGCCTGGAATCTAAAGCTGTCTCTCACTTGTGATGGTGGGACATGGCAGCTGTTGGCACTCAGCAGCAGACCTCACAATGGAAAGTGAAGAATACCATGTCCAATTGAAATTACAAAGGAAAATTGAATATGCAAGCTGTTTAGCTGGAATTTCTAAAAATATCTCAGCAAGAGAGTAATAGGCACCAACAAATCTATTGTTGAACCTCATTACTAACCTTGAACTTCATGATTCAGAGTAATTCTAAAATTACTATAAAAACCACCAGTGTCAAATTTGAAAAAAAATATGTGATGATTGGCTTAAATTTTGTAAACATACAGGCTACATACACGATGTTGACTTTAAAATTAATACACTCAAAACTGAAGGCCAGTTGTCTTTTTTTAATTTGAATTATCTGTGAGAAAAGGAGACCATTTGGGGGCCACTAAATGATGTGAAAAAGAATGGATGGGATTTAGTAACTGACTGGATACTGAGCGAGAAGAAGAAGTCTGGGAGAACTGGCCTTTCTGACCGCAGAGGCAGCTGTGTCTTTACAGCTGTGCAACACACAGGAGTGAATTCATGGGATGGGGACCTTGTGGGGGAGGGAGTGGACGTGTTTGTACTTATCGTAAGGTAAGAATATCACAGCTTAAACAGTTTCATCACTCAGCAAGTGAGAGCTGGGCGTATAGAAATGAATAAGATTTGATATCCATCCTCAAAGTATTGAGTCTAATGGAGGATTTTATTTATTTATTTATTTTTCATTGTGAGAAATGCTGGAGGATTTTAGAATAAATGGGTATTGCTATTACAGAAGTAGGAAAAGAGTAAGTGCTGCCACACTCCTTGCTGTTTCCTGAAGCTTGCTTCTGCCTTAGGGCTTTTGTACTTTTTCTGGAACACTCTTCCCCCATTATCTGCTTGGGCCGATTGATCACCTCCTTCAGGTCTTTGTCCAAATATTATCTCTGCGAGGCCCTCTTTGTCCAGTTAAGTATGCTGTCCACTCCCACTCCCTCTACCTCAGTCTTGCAGATCCAACCCCCAATCCTGCTTAATTTTTTCTATAGTATTTATCACCATCTAAAGTACAATATATTTTATGTATTCATTTGGTTGGTTGTCTCTCTCCCCACTTGAATGTAAGCTCTTTGAAAACAGGGTATAGGAGGGGTTGTCTATTTTGTTCTCTACTGTATACGTAGCGTCCAGAGTAGCACTAGACTGTTATCAAGTAATTATTTATTTAGTTATTATATAATTGTTGTATTCTAGTGAATGGCTTGATTCAGGAATATGCTGTGGGAGCATTAAGGAGTTGATGCCACAGTACTGTTGGAAGATTTAAGCAAATTATGTCAAAACTAAAATTGCTATCTAAAATATACATGATCAATTAAAAACAACTCCCTCTAGCAGGCCACCTCTTTCAGCACCCTGGGGGTACCTGCCCCCTAACTTAGGGTAGAGTGGCATGGACTCTGCTGCCTCGAATCAGCTATTTCACAGGATCAGTCCTGAGGCATTAATCCGGCACACAGATGCTCAATAAGTATTTGTTAAATGAATGGGTGAGTTTGAAGATTGGATAAAGCCCTGTTAATCATCCTTTTTATGCCTTGTGTCAGTGCCTCTCAAGGTGTGGTCCCACGTCCTTGCTGGTCTGCAACGAGATAAATAAAAAAATGGGGATTTAAAATTTAGGAATTTCGGGCTTCCCTGGTGGCACAGTGGTTGAGAGTCTGCCTGCCGATGCAGGGGACATGGGTTCGTGCCCTGGTCCGGGAAGATCCCACATGCCGCGGAGCAGCTGGGCCCGTGAGCCATGGCCGCTGAGCCTGCGCATCCAGAGCCTGTGCTCTGCAACGGGAGAGGCCACAGCAGTGAGAGGCCCGCGTACCGAAAATTTTAAATCCCCATTATAATAAAAATTTAGGAATTTCATTGTGGTGTGACATCTTAATGATAGTTTTTATTTTATTTTATAAAAGTATTAGCCTGGAACAGATTGCGGGGGAAAAAACTAGTTCTTCACTCTAAATAGTTTGAGAAGCACTTGTTTCTGTCATGGATTGCTGTGGGGTTTCTGTGGGCCACTTATTTATGTGCTTTAAGGATATTTAAAACTTCCCCTTGAGAGCAGTCCTGTATTACCTGTAGGCACCCTTGGAAACTGAGGTTATTCTCTAGAGAAAAATATTTCATAGGTTTTTTACCTTTACTAATAGAATGTCAACTCTTACCTGCTCATCTGATACCCAGAGCAGAGGGATTTTCCCTCAGTGGACAGATTTATGTCTCACTTTGTCTTAAAACTTTGTCTTAAAATGGTGCAATCATTTATGGGCTTAAAAAATAAAAAATTTTTAAAAAATTAATTTTATTTATTTATTTAATTTTGGCTGAGTTGGGTCTTTGTTGCTGCGCCCGGGCTTTCTCTAGTTGCGGCGAGCGGGGGCTACTCTTCGTTGCGGTGTGCGGGCTTCTCATTGCAGTGGCTTCTCTTGTTGAGGAGCACGGGCTCTCGGCACGTGGGCTGAAGCGTAGTTGTGGCACGCGGGCTCAGTAGTTGTGGCTTACAGGCTCTAGAGTGCAGGCTCCGTAGTTGTGACACACGGGCTGCTCACTTTCTCCGCGGCATGTGGGATCTTCCTGGACCAGGGCTCAAACCCGTGTCCCCTGCACTGGCAGGTGGATTCTTAACCACTGTGCCACCAAGGAAGCCCTAGAAAATTAATTTTTTTGCCTAGGTTTTACAAAAAGTTTTTAAAAATAACTTTATTGAGGTATAATTTATATACAGTGAAATTCAGCATTTTACGTTTACAATTCAGTGAACTTTTAGTAAATTTACCAAGTTGTGCAGCCATCATTACAGTCAAACTTTAGAACATTTCCATCACCCCACAAAGATCTCTTATGCACATTTGCAGTCATTCCATGTTCCCACCCTAACCCCAGGCAGCCGTTAATCTATATTCTGTCTCTAAAGATGAAATGAAACTTTTTCTGGACATTTCGCGTAAATTGAATCATATGATATGTGATCTGTATGTGGCTTCTTTCATTTAGCATAATGTGTTTGAAGTTATCCATGTTGTTGTATGTATCAGTACCTTGTTCCTTGTTCCTGCTGAGTAGTATTGCATTGTATGGGTATACCACATTTTGTGTATCCATTCACTACTTGGTAGACATTTGAGTTGTTTCTACTTTTCGACTGTTATCATTAATGCTGCTGTGAACATTCACGTGTAAGCCTGGGTGCACGTATATTTTCATTCTTCTTGGGTAGAGATGTAGAAGTGGAATTGCTGGCTCATATGGTAAATTTATGTGTAATTTTTAAAGGGAAACTGGTTGGTCAAACTGGGTGCACCATTTTACATTTCTACCAACAATATATGACAGTTGCTGTTTCTCTACATTGATAGCATTTGTTATTGTGTGTCTCTTTGACTATAGCCATTCTAGTGGGTACGTAGTGTACTTCACTGAGGTTTTCATTTGCTTTTCTCTTACGACTAGTAATACTGAGTGTCTTTTCTTATGATGCTTATTTTCCCTGTAAATCTTGTTTGTAAAGTGTCTCTTCATACCTTTTGCCTATTTTTAAATTGAGTTGTTTGTCTTTTCCCTATTGAATTAGAAGAGTTCTTTGTATTTTCTGGATATCAGTTCTTCATCAGATAGGATATATGATTTGCAAATATTTCCTTCAGCCTGTTGCCTAATTTTTAAAAACAGGATTCTGTTTGAATTTAACATCATTGTCTACTGACTGCTAGCATTTGAGCAGGAGTTTAGAGCTATATCCTTTCTTCTGACAGTGACCTTAGGTTTACAGTCACTATTGGCATATTGTGTGTAGAACTTGTCAAATAAAGAAACTGTGCAACACTGTAACTTCCCTGAATTCAGGGATGTGTAGTTGACATTGTTAAGTGTAGACTGTGATTCCTGAAGAGAACTCTACGTAGATGGTAGGCCAGCAAAAGTTAGAAAGGAAACCAAGTACGGGACAAGTATGGCTATGTCTGTTTCTAATTGTACTTACTCCTGTATAAAATCCACAGAGTGGGTCTATGAATGACATTTTAGGACAAATATTCTGGGGTTTCCCGTTTTGGGGGAAAAGAAATAAATGGATGGAAGCACTTTGATTAAGTAACATGGTGGAGCTATCCTGGCAAACGTTATGATTTTATGTAGGAGTTTCTTGCGTTATGATAAGGAGGATGCAGACCTTTCATAGATTAGATAGAGGTCATCAAGTGAACTTTACTCTTGATCTTTAAAGACATGATTGTATAGATTAGAACTTCCATCTAAGACTTTTTGGAAACTTGGTGAACTGTCTTTTGCAACGGCTTGGTGGGAAATCTAGCACTTGCTACCCTTTGTATCCCTGCCTCCGTTCCCCACCTAGGATAGTATAGTATGCTTGGGAATTATAGTTTAAAGTTCTTTTGTAGTTACAAAATGTCTCACCAAAAAAATCCTTTCAATTCTTTGTTTTCTTTTTCCCCCCTGCAAGTTTTTAAAAATTAAAATAAATATCACGTAACATGAAATTTATCACTGTAAAGTTGTACAATTTGTTAGTTTTTAGTATGTTCACAATGTTATGCCACCATCACCACTATCTAATTCCAGAACATTTCCATCACTCTCAAAAGAAACCCTTTACCTGATATGGGTCACTTCCAATTCTCTCATTTCCCCAGCCCCTGGCAACCACTAATCTGCCTTCTATCTCTATGGCTTTATCTATTCTGGATATTTCATGTAAATGGAATCATATAATATATGATCTTTTATATGGCTTCTTTCATTTAGCATAATGTCTTTGAGGTTCATTCATGTTGTAGCATGTATCAGTATTTCATTCCTCTTTATGGCCAAATAACATTCCTTTGAATGTGTGCGCCACATTTTGTTTATCCGTTCATCAGTTAATGGACATTTTAGGTATTTCCAGTTTTTGGCTAATCACGCATAATGCTGCTCCTGTGATCATTCGTGTACAGTTTTTGTGTGTGTGAGTGTGAACATGTTTTCTGTTCTCTTGGGAATATACCTAGGATTTTGAAACTGCTGGGTTATATGGTAACTCTATGCTTAACTTTTTTTTTTTTTTTTTTTTTTTTGCGGTACGCGGGCCTCTCACTGTTGTGGCCTCTCCCTTTGCGGAGTACAGGCTCCGGACGCGCAGGCTCAGCGGCCATGGCTCAGGGGCCTAGCCGCTCCACGGCATGTGGGATCTTCCCGGACCGGGGCACGAACCCGTGTCCCCTGCATCGGCAGGCGGACTCTCAACCACTGCGCCACCAGGGAAGCCCCCTATGCTTAACTTTTTAAGGAACTGCCAAACTGTTTTCCACAGTGACTGTACCATTTTACATTCCTACCATCAGTTCCAGTGGTAGGGTTCCGATTTCCACATCCTTGCCAATACCCATTGTACTTTTTCTCCCTCTTTTTAAAAATTATACCCATCCTGGTGGGTGTGAAGTTGTATGTCATTGTGGTTTTAATTTGTATGTCCCTAATAACTAATGCGATGATATCCATGTACTTATTGGCCATTTTTATATATTCTTTGGAGAAATGTCTGTTCAGTCAAACCTTTTACTCATTTTTTAAATTGAGTTATTTTTCTTTTTATTGTTTAGCTGTAAGAGTTGAGCTTAGACTTGTAACACAGATCCATCCTTGAAAACTCATCCTAGGCCTAGCTGCTGTTTTTAAGTATGATGATAACTGAGCAAACAGTGATTTCCATGTCTGATTGGTAGAGGATTTTCTTTATTTGCCATGAAAAATACGTTCCAAAGTATAATTTGATAGAGTATCATCACTTTGTCATGGCTGTAATTTGAACTAATCTTATCAGCAAATTAATGATAGACTGATAAAGTACCTCTGGCTGGTACTATTAATTGGTGCTCACTGGAAGTGTTTAAGCCAAATCTGGACAACTGCTCTTGGCTTGTTGTAGAAGAAATTTCGTGTGTACTAAGGAAAGTTGAATTCGATGTCATTTGAGATTCTTTCCACCTCTATGATTCTGTTTTTGCTGTCTCGAGCTGAAATTTGTCCCAGTGAAATGGTATGAAAAGTATCTTATTTCCATTGTCATTGTATAAAGAGTTAGATTCTAAAGATAATGTAGATTTATACTTTGAAAACAGAAGAAAAGTGTTATTGTACTTCACTCTTTTTTAAGAATTAAATTATTTTACCGTGTTTCACTTGAAATAGTTTGCTTTCCTTCAATTTTAAAGAATGTTTTTTTCTTCTTACAGATTAGCAAGACACCTACAAAAAGAGGCCCAAGCTCAACACAATAATTCTGAGTTCACAGAAGAACAAAAGGTACCATAAAATAATCTCTAGATACATCAGATTCCAAATGAAAAGGGTTCTGTCTTTTGAGTCCATTAAGCAAAAACAAACAACAAAAACTGTTATACTTAAGTACAAAGAATGATACTGATTATGCTTTGCTGAACATTAAGTAATTACTTTAGAGATACCACATGATTTACCATGTAATGAATTTCTCACTTAATAAATTTCTTTACTCAGCCATTTAGACATTTAGTGGAGACCATCCACACTTTGGTTGGGAAGGAAGGGGTACCAGAGACTGGAGTTTGATTGTGAGTAATTGCATCCCACCTCAGTACTTACTTAACTCAGAACTTCCTTACCTCCTTCTCCACCTCCTCTGAAAACAAACAAAAAACAAAACAAACGAAAAACAAAAAAAAGCCACCACTGAAAAATAATTAGTTCAAGTCAAGAATTTAGCATAAGAATCCATCAACAAAGTAAATGCATAAAGTTGCAAAATGTTTCAAGGGTGCTCTTTCTCCTTGAATTAAAATTTTAATGTATCAAATTGATTCCCTGTACTGCTAGAGATTGTGAAAAATGGGATATTTTAAGAAGCCTTACTGTAAAACAGTGAGAAGAAATGGGAGGAAACAATTCTTATTTTTCCTGGCTCAAGGTATCTAATGTTAAGTTAAATTTTAATCTCGTAGATAATGAAAAAATTCATGTCAGCTTTCTTCTTAAGACATTGTAAAAACTATGGTGACTTAATTTGCTTTTATTCTCTTTTTGTACAAGGAGTGGGAGTGGGAGTGATTCTCTGCACACTCTTCAAGTAAACCTAAACAAATTGGTTTTAGTCCTTAGGCCTGTATTCATTTGATTCATCTTTATAAATCTTTGAAAAGAAAAAAACACCAAAAATTAGGGTCAGTCATATTTCTTACACAAGTTAGTATGTTTGCATTTTAAAAATATTTGGGGTCTGTTGAACCGGTTTGCAGGGCAGAAATAGAGACACAGATGTAGAGAACAAACGTGTGGACACCAAGCGGGGAAAGTGGCAGGGGCAGTGGTGGTGGGACGAATTGGGAGATTGGAATTGACATGTATACACTAATATGTATAAAATGTATAACTAGTAAGAACCTGCTGTGTAAAAAAAAAAATAAAATTCAAAAATAAAAAAAAACAAAAACCTGCTGTAAAAAAAAAAAAATAAAATACAAAAATAAACACAAACCTGCTGTACAAAAAAATAAATAAGATAAAATTAAAAAAATAACTGATAAAACGTTTTTGGGTCTGTGTCATCTAGTGTATCTTTATTTTGTATTTTAAAAAGTAATAGAAGTTTTAAAATTTTAAGGTATATTTTTCTTTTTTCCTTAATAATTGCTAATATCCACAATAGATTTAGGAAACTTAGGATTTTAGCCCTGGAAAATAATTACCACAGAGGAATTGTCCGGTTTGCAAAAGGAAAGGAAGAAGGACTATATGCTTTATCACCTCTAAGATTTGTGAAATCTGTCTACGAATTGCTAAGGAAGTGATCAGCTGGCATCACAGATTTGAGAGTTTAAACACCTATGTTTTGAAACAATCTCAAATATCTGAGTATGTAAATTAACAGCTAACAAAGTGTGTTATGACTATAGAAACAAAATGAAAGCTTAGGAAATTAAAAAGTTTAATGACAGCCATATTTTAATCAACTGTTTGCCTTGTCTCCAACATCTGTTGCTTAGGTATAGGTTCTATGAGCAACACGACCTCAAATATAAACTGATTTGACCTAAAACATACTAAAGTTTTTAAAAATGTCATCAAGAAATGAGCTTTGTCATATTCTGATAATTAGACTAACCAGAAAAAATTAGCTTTTTCTTAATTTTCTTTAACTTTCTAAGGATGAAGCTGGGATGTTTGACAGTGCTGTGTATTCAATCTTTAATTTATAGCTGTTCTTAGTAGGCACCCGCTGCTGTCTTTTTTCAGCTTACACAGATCTCACCCTCCACAAGGCCCAGGAGGCACCATGACCTAAAGGAATGAGCCTGAGATCTGGAGTCAGAAGACTTGATCTTGAATCCAGTCTGTCTCTGGGCCTTAATTTCCTTATGTATGAAATGAGGGATTAGATAACCCTAAATGATCTTGAAACGTATCCCTAAATCTTCAAATGACCTCTACCTTTGAGGTAGTCTGTTCCTCCTCCCCTCCTCGAGGTGTGATTTCTGAGGTATTTATTATTTATAAACCTGCTTAGGAGGCAAATGTGGCTGCCAGTAGTGACTACAGAGAGAGGTTGTGCCTGCCTCCCTATTCCTTGGGCTTGGAGAAGGACCCCCAAATCACTCTGTACTACATTATGAATATAAGGCAAGTCGTATGCATTTACAAATTCTTTAAAAAAAATTTCTTTAAAAATACAGGTGAAACATTCACAACGGGCCAGAAACCTCATATTGGCATTGTAGGCCTTATTTCAATGTCACATAAGGAAAAACTTAGAGGCTCTAAGTTAATAAATGATTAGAAAAACAAAGATTTCCCAGACATTATCTGGAGAACATTGACTCTGAAAAATTAATAGATGTTATATGAACAGAGTTTGTGACTTGTCAGGGCTTTTAGTATGCTAATGTGTATGTTGGAGTTTTAAAGAGTTTGGGTAATGGAGTATTTCTTAGATTTGTTGGCTTTTGAAAGTCTCCCTCCTCCTCCCTTTATAATATTTCATTGGGTCTAAAGAACATGTTATGGGAAATTTTGAAACCAACTGTTAGGTCTGCAAAATTAATTGAATGCCAGACCTGGCATGTAAGCCAAAGGAGAAGAAATTCGATTGTGTTTTCCTTAAAAGAGGAAAATGGAGAATGTTCCTTACATTATTCTAAGCAAAATTGTTCTATATGTTTTCTATTTGGAATTATATTCTTTATGCTTTTACTATTTTAAATGTTTTTGTAGCAGTGACAAGTTTTAGAATTATGCCAACCATTTAATAATTTGTGGAACTTTGAAAGAAGATTTTTAAAAACCACTATATTTCTAAAGTGCTTTCTTTATGAAGCTTTTTACTGTTAGTTCACAGTAAGATTTCAAAAATATTTGATGAATAAATGCTTTGTTAGATCTTAAGTTATTGATATTTATTTGTATATGATTATTATTTTAAGATTAGAGGAATCCTATTTTTTTAGAGAATAACATATATATCTTCACAATATTTATTTTAAATCTGAAGAACTCTAAAGCAGAGCTACTGATCTCTCTAAAGTTTATTAGTTGATGGTAAAAAATCTTCATATGGCTTTTCTATTCAAAATATTCTCAAAGATTTCTGGTGGAAAAAAAAGCAAGTTTATAATTCTTATTTGATCTTCCCTCATGATCAGTTGACATAGCTTTCATTTCATTTCTTAATAGTTTTGTCATTATAACAACAGGGTTTAGTAGCCAAAAAATAGCTGCCAAAAGCTTTCATTCCGTTAAATTCCCTGCTTTGGTGTAGTAGATTTTCTCATGTAAGTTTCTGGACAGACTAGAACATCCTGTCTCATGATGCTTAGAAAGTTTTTCCCTGTTTTGAATCAAATTTAGTGGTAATGAGAATTCCAGCACTATATGCTTGTTTTACATTTTATAGGTCCCCACTTTCCACTGCCTCCTCCCTCTCTTCCTTTCTTTCCTCCTCACCCCCGCCATCTAAAGAGTAGATGACTGGCTGTCTAAATGTAAAAAATTAAGTCTGGATTGAGACTCTACTACTTTAACAATGTGTATTTTTTCAACCTATTTTTCCTTGATATGTTTTAGCAAAATTACTTTTGCTCTTTATTTGTATATTTCTATTTCATCTTTTCCTTTCACCGCTCTTTTTGAGTTGTCCATTTCCCTAGCAAGTGACAAAGTAAAGTAGCCAGTATTCTGAAAATGACAACATTTTCCATTTCTATACCACAGCAGGTATAAGCAGTTAATTTGAATGAAGTGCTAATTATTTAAATCTTTCTAAAATTAAACTTCGCTTTGAGTGCTTAGTCTTAATGTGTATTAGTTAATAGTCAATATTTATATTCTGACACATATGACTTTGTGCTTCTTAATAATTTTTCTGAACCATTTCTTTCTAAGAAAGTTGAAATAATTACAGTAGCAAGCACTTGATTTTGACATCAATAAATGCTGCATGTTTTGCTACAGCTGAAAATGATAGTGTTTCACTCCTTTTTTAATACTGATGTTGGGTGTGGTCCCTTAAAATAGTTATGAATAATGCTTATTGGTATTTTGCCATAGTTCAGTAGATTCTGTGTAAAAAACTGTTGCTTCTGCTTAACTTGAAGAAATATTTAAATTTAAAATAGATTATTAGTGGACTTACAGTTGTTAAACTACATTTTACCTTAAATGTTAAAAACATCAAATCAGATGGATTGTATAGTAAAGAAGGAAAAGGAGTTAACTAGTATTTTTAAAGACTTACTCACTGGTACGTGTCCCTTAATACAGACAACCCTTTTTCAAAACCATTTTTTAAAGAACATAAAAAGTATGGCCAAATGGTATTAAAATAAGTGTATTACTTTGTTGTATATATTGCTATTGTATAGAATACACTGATGTCCAGGGCAAGTTGCTTAACCTGTCTTCTGTTTTCACATCTATAAAATAGTTGTATCTAACTCATAGGGTTGTAGTCAGGATTAAATGACGTAATGTGTGTAAATCACTTAGCAGAGTCTGTCATTTAGTAACTGCTCAATAGTTGTTAGCTATTACTGTTACTATATAATTTATATTTAAAATTATTTACTAGTTTTGTCAGATTTGAGTGATATATATGAACAATGATCTGAGGTTATTAGATTTTATGTAGAAAAGATTGTTGCTGGTTGCTCCACAACAGCTCTTTCAGAGGGTAAATAAATCTGTGATTATCTTGATTCCTTTTGCAGCAGTTCTATTAAATATAATATTTAAATGTAAAATTTCAAAATAAAATTTGACATTTTCTAAACTCTTATATTAAGATTAAAAGAAATTTTTAAAGATTGTGGAGATAGTTAAATATTGTTACTTGTTCCTTGACCAAGAGTCATGTCTTTTGCTCAGTCGTGGTTTATTTATTTATATATTTTTAAATTAAAAAAATTTTTTTATTGAAGTATACTTGATTTACAATGTTGTGTTAGCTTCTGGTGTACAGCAAAGTGATTCAGTTATACATATTGATATATATATCAATATATACATATTCTTTTTCATATTCTTTCCCATTATGGTTTATAACAGGATACTGAATATAGTTCCCTGTGCTATACAGTAGGACCTTATTGTTTATCTGTTTTACATATAGTACTTTGTATCTGCTAATCCCCAGCTCCTAATTTATCCTTCCCCCTTTCACCTTTGGTAACCATAAGTTTGTTTTCTATGTCTGTGAGTCTGTTTCTGTTTCATAAATAAGTTCATTTGTGTCATATTTTAGATTCCATAAGTGATATCATATGGTGTTTGTCTTTCTCTTTCTGACTTACTTCACTTAGTATGATAATCTCTAGGTCCATCCATGTTGCTGCAAATGGCATTATTTCATTCTTTTTTATGGCTGAGGAGTATTCCATTGTATATATATACCACATCTTCTTTATCCATTCATCTGTTGATGGACATTTATTTACCTTGCTTCTGTGTCTTGGCTATTGTGAATAGTGCTGCTGTGAACATTGGGGTGCATGTATCTTTTCTAATTATAGTTTTCTCCAGATATATGCCCAGGGGTGGGATTGCTGGATCATGTGGCAACCCTATTTTTAGTTTTTTAAGGAACATCCGTACTGTTTGCCATAGTGGCTGCACCAATTTACATTCCTACCAACAGTGTAGGAGGGTTCCCTTTTCTCCACATCCTCTCTAGCATTTGTTATTTGTAGAATTAGTGTTTTATTTTGTGAACTATCCCAGCTGTTTATGGTCCACATGATAACTGCATAGTGCCATCTAGCCTGGGTGCCAGGTACCAGGACAATAGTTGTTACTCCTCTTTGCTCCTCATTTATCTTCCAAAGAAAATTGATGAAAGAGAAAACCACCAAATCTAATTGACTAAACTTTTGCAGGTCGTCAGTATGTATAGAAAAACATCCTTTTTTTTTCCAGAATATTTTTTTGGTGAAGGCATTGCAAATATTGTACATATATACTTCACTTTTATTGCCAGGATTTCTTCCTTTTTATTAGGAAGGATTTAAAAGTCTTGATGGGCATAATTCAGCTGCTGCCTGCTCTTGCAGATATTTGTTCTGTGGGTCTCCTTTTCATTTCAACCCTAGTCATTCATGTTCTTGTTCTGATTACTGTTTACATAGACAGTTGAAATAACCTGATTGATCTTACCTTTAGTCTTTTCCCTTTTCTCCTTCACCCTATGGATACTCTTATCACAGCAGTCTTATTTTTTTTTTTTTTTTTTTTGCGGTACGCGGGCCTCTCACGGGCCCAGCCGCTCCGCGGCACGTGGGATCCTCCCAGACCAGGGCACGAACCCGTGTCCCCTGCATCGGCAGGCGGACTCTCAACCACTGCGCCACCAGGGAAGCCCACACAGGAGTCTTCTTAAAGGGCAAATCTGATAGTCATTCTTCTGTCCAGAAACTATCTGTATGATTTATTGCTAAAGTAGTAACAGATTTTGCAGCTGGTCCTAGAAGGTCCCCTTTATAATGACCTCCCTCCCCCAACACACGCATTTCACATTTCAAACCTTTCTCCCCCTGCTTCAGTTTGGGACTTCAGACAACTGAACCATGACAATTTTCCTAGTACGTTAGTTTTAGAAATCCTCCCAGTCACTGGGGCTTGAATCCTAATTCCGATTCTTGTCCTGTTTCTCCAGGATATATTACCGCTTAGTTCGCTGAAGCCCTATAGAATCAAGTGCCTCTGCTTTACGTTACAGTGATTCTGAATGTGTCTTATATAATAGAAACATGCGCTTATTAAAGACAGGGACTATGCCTTATCACTTGTATCCATTTTATAGCTCAGATCTGACTGTAAAATTTACCACCATTTATCACAAGTATTGATTCTGCTTAGTATTGTTGATATATTTAATTGAACAAGTCAAGATTGGATTTGAGTCAGAATTAAATTATACCGCTGTGCTAACTTTCAGATATTTTTGTTTTTAAGTCTTTTAGTGAATATCAGACTTTATGGAGAAGAAGAAAAGGTAAAGCTTAGGAGGGAAGATGCTTGAAGTCCTTTTCATTGCCCTTTAAATCATATCTAAAGCTATCATCAAAGCAAACTTGATTTAAAATTGGTTGTGGCACATTAGGTTAGGAGCGAATATATACTCACCTTCTCTGCCCGATCCCAGACCTTTACCTCCTGTTTCTCATCTCCAAAGTCTGCAAGATGCTAAAAGAAGTAAAAGTTAACTTATTTTTTAAAATTATAGATTGCTTATCAATGAAAATTAACTTGGTGATTTGGACAACTAACAGTTATGATATATTTGGTATTTATAGCTTTTTCTTTTTCCTTCAGAAAACCATAGGCAAAATTGCAACATGCTTGGAATTACGAAGTGCAGCTTTACAGGTAAATAGGTTCCCCCCCTCCAACTTTTTAATATAAGGAAAAGAAATTATTGTGAACTATTCTGATAAAGTATTAGCATTCATGCCAAAAGCAGTATTGTCTCACAAAGGTTTTATAACAGTAAGAATTCATGGGTTAAACTCATCTTAAAAGATTTAGTTCATATTACATAAACTGTAAAAATAAAAGATATGACTTCAATTTTTTTTCTGTTATTTTTAGCCTGAATGTTCCAAAAAACACTAAAACAAAAACCAGTTTGGAATTTTTTTTTTTTTTTTACCCTGAAAGCAAGAAATAGATTCATTTATTTTGGCCGCTTTTTGAATATGTCGTCAACCACTTAAAAGACATAGGGTGCAGTGAAATCTTTGTAATAAAAATATGTAATATGCATGTTTTAAATTCAGTCCACACAGTCCCAAGAAGAATTTAAACTGGAGGATCTGAAGAAGCTAGAACCAAGTAAGTTTTGTTTTATATTTTTTAGTGATACTCCTTTAGAAAAATATTTGAGCTGTTATGGATATTAAGGTTATTTAGCAGAGATGCTAATTTGAGTCATTTCTGTTAATATCTAGTCCTATGTAATTTTTTTGTGCTTTTATAATTCCTATAATATTTATAGTAATTATTCTTTGGTTCACTTTCATTATAGAATATGAAAAATTATTTGATTCTATGTCATACCTCATCTATCTGTTTTAGACTTTATTTTGTTTTAATCTCTTTAATAAGACTATAATTAAATTAGTTTGGTAAACATTTACAGTAGAGTCTACTGGAGAATATAAATTTATAGTCATTGATGCCTATTTATACAGCATGTCACTGAAAACTGCAGTCCAGCTGTTTGGTCTGCTGTATAAAATATTTCCTTGTTGTCCTCATTTTCCTTCCTGAAAGTTTTTTTGAGGTAAACAATTCCTTCAAATATTTTGGTGGTTAGGTTGCTGCTAGATGAAGCTTTTTTGCTGGTTCAAATGAATGTTCTCTTAGAGGAAATGTTTGAAATATAAGCAAGGGCACAAGTATTAAATATCACCACAGTCAATTTTAGGACATTTTTATCACCCCATAAAGAAAACCTTTATCCGTTAGCATTCAGTCATTTCCCTCCAGCTTCCCCCAATTCCCAGTCCTAGGCAACCACTAATCTATTTTTTGTCTCTATAAATTTGCCTGTTCTGAACATTTCGTATAAATGGAATCATATAATGTATGGTCTTTTGCAACTGGCTATATATAAGATTATTTTAAGAAAAGCACATTGATGGCTTTAAAAAAAGATTACAGCTGCAGTTAGGATGTCTGAGTTATATAATGTTTCTAAAGAAAATCATAACGTTCACTTTTAAATGATAAGAATAATTAGGATTTGGGATCCTTACCTAGTCACTATTTTCCATTTCTTTTCTGTTTGTTTCCAAATAAAACTTAAGAACCTGTTAGGTATGTAAGGTGACTGTAAAGTTTGTAAACGCTTATACTCAGATGTTTATTATCTCTTTCCATAGACTCACTCAGTTATTCCTCCTATGGCCTCATAGACTTTCTTGTTGGTAATAACGGTTGCCATTTTTTCGAGCAGCAGCAGTATGCCAAGCACTCAGATAAATCGTCTCAACGGCATTTTGCTTACTGACACTTGCCCGTGATCTTACAGCTTGTAAATGCCAGAACCAGATTTTGACCAGGGTTCTAAGTGATCTCAAAGCCTGCATTCCTACCACTGCACTGTTATTAATACTTGGAATGGTGCAGTATTGGCATCAATCCTAAATAGCATGGTTCTTCAGGTCAAGTTCCTGAGAGATTTTTGGCCCGTATCTTAGTGGAAGATTGGACTAAAATCTGCATTAGTCTTCTACTTTGTTTGTTTATTTGTTTTTGTTTTGTTTTTTTTTAAGATTTGGTGTGCGAATGGAAAGGAAAGAGTATTTTTGGGATTCATTTTGTTATAGTTTGAATTTATATAATTCTTCTCATTTGGACTTCTCCCTTCCTGGTACTTATTATTTTTTTAGATGATTTTAATTTGCTGTTGCCTCTGAAAGGAACATAAATGTGTATATTGTATCTCAGTAGGATATGCTCTGTAATTAATTTTGAATTTATAAAATCTAGGCACTTGTTATGAGTTAATTATTTTATCGGAATTAAACATTTTCTATAAATTGGTGTTTGACTATATTTCAGATTCAGTGTTCTTAGTCAAGCTGACCTCTGCCTCTTCTAAGAATGTTAAGGAAAGGAAAATTAACGAATGACTGTGTCTTTCAACATGTTAGTCCTAGTTGGTTTATTTTGCTAATGTATTTTTCCTTTCAAAGTTTTAAAAATATAATCCTGTCTGAAATTCATACTAAAACTAAGATCTTGAAAGTACTAGTTACTTGATTTTCTTATGTTAATCCTTAGTAGCAGACTACTTCTTACTCAAACTTGTCCCCTCGTGACAACCCCATAAACTGTAAAGTTCCCTTCCATTAATTCATCTTTGAAAGCCCCGAAGAAATCCCACCTTTCTCTGAAAGCTTTCCGTGCTTTCCCTAGCCATAATTAAACTCTACTTCATGTCCTTTCTAGGAGCACTTTTTATAGCCACCATTGTAGTCTTCCCTGTATTTTTCTCACTTATATTTATTTCTCTCCTCAAGAAGATTGTGAATAGCCTCTGTATTTTCCCCACAGAGCCTCATTCAACACTGCCTATAGTTTGAACTCGGCAGATTTTTAAGTTGAATGTCTTCAGGGAATCTTCTCACATAATTAAAAAAATAACCTTTCAGATGGGAAGCACTTGCTCATTTTTGCCTACCACAAAAATGAAAGATGTCAGCCACAAAAGAAGAATACATCTGGCATGTGTGTCTGTGAGGTTTTTAGAGTGTCAGCTTCAGGAGGTTGCAGGGCCTGCTCCATGACAGCAGGCTGAGAGTGCTGAGTTCTTACCAGTAGAGGGTGGGCCTGTGTGTGTGATTTCTGCTGGATGAGCCAGTTAGACCCCAATGGTGGTAGACTCCATGCTCATGATAATACCTTCCATGGAATTATAAACTTGCTTCTCTCTTCTCTAAATCCTCCTAAAATATCAATATTAGTGTCAGAAGAAAAATCCTATGTAAAGTTTATGTAGAACCCTATTTTAAAAGGACATTAGAATCCCTGTTATTCCATAGTTGGTGAAAATGGAAACCTATCCTACATTTACAGAAAGGGAGAAAGGAGCTGTTATTTTTCTCCCAAAGTTATTCACACAAATTAAATATCTGATATACTCTATACTTATAAATACAAAATAAAGGAGAGGCTATTACTGCAAAACAGACATTTCCTTTTCAAAGCATTGATACCTAAGGAAAGAAAATACTGTTTAATTCTTCTATTATAATACAAATTTAAGATATTCTTAATGACTAATATGATTTTCAACTTTTTAATTGATGTTGTTTTGTACATATTTTAAGGTTTGATTTTTCCTTTTTATTATTAAAATGTGATCATTTCTGATATACATGATCTTTTTTTTTTTTGTCACCCATTCCCTGTTCTCAATATCTAGCATAATACTGTGTAAGTGATTAATTCAGGGGTCCCCAACCCCTGGGCCGCAGACCAGTATTGGTCTGTGGCCTGTGAGGAACCGGGCTTCACAGCAGGACGTGAGTGGCCGGCGGTGAGCGAGCAAAGCTTCATCTGCCGCTCCCCATCGCTCCCCATCGCTCGCATTACCACCTGAACCATCTCCCCTCCCTCACCCCCGGTCTGTGGAAAAATTGTCTTCCATGAAACCGGTCCCTGATGCCAGAAAGGTTGGGGACTGATGAATTAATTGATATTTGAGTTGAATGAATAGCTTACAAGGAACATTCATGCACCAAGCTTAGAGAGGATAGTCTTATAATTTTAAAAATAGTCCTTCTTAGTGAGATCTGAAATAATAGGATTCTAGTCAGCCAGATAGGGAAAACTATGGAGAAATAAATTACCATATAATAATGTAGAATTATACTTTTATGGTACTTTAAATGTTCCCATGCAATGTCATATACTGTTATTTAATTTAATTTTCTCAGCAGTCTGGGAAGGAAATGGTATTCTGGTTTTAGAACTGGGGGAACGGAGATTCAGAGTAGTTATGTGAATGCTCAAGTCATTAACATCCTCGTAGGGCTAAGATCTGATTTCAGAGCTTTTGCTACTTCCCCCTTGCTTATCAGACTTTAGCTCTATGGTCCATTCTATTCCTTGAACAAGCTCCTGCCCCAGAGCCTTTGTTGTTGCTCTAGCTTGTTCTCTAATTCTTGGAGAGCCCTCGCCCCTGAGCTACTTGTGGACATTTCCTCTCATCCAGGTCATGGCTCAAATGTCTTCTAGTAATTCAGGTTTGAGAGGCCTACCCTGTTCACCTCAGCTGAAGTTATCCCTCTATTCTACGTACACAAGCATCCTCTGTGTCCTTCATTACACTAATTGCAGTCTTAACATTATCTTGTTTATTTGTTGCCTTATTATTGTCTGCTTTTCCTGACTAGGATCTAAGATCCACATACGAGGGCAAGAACCCTCTGTCTCTATCACTGCCATATCTTTAGCACTCAGTGCACGTTTGTTGAGGAGAAGAAAAAGAGAGGAAGAATGAGGCTAAGAGTTGGAGAGGGAGAGAGAATAAGAATGAGAATCTAGACCCAAGTCTCAGACTTCTTTCCCCGAAGGGCTTAGTAGGAGTGCATATGTTAGAAGAAGTCTAATAAACACATCCAACTCCGATTGGAGTAAGGCATATAATTGCAACCTGTACACAGGGATTTCCTTTTTGGGGATGACAACATCCATACCTATTTTAGCTCTCAACTGCAGGACTCCAAACTTAGCGAGACTGAATAAGTTGAGTATAAAATCATAGAAATATTTTGGGTTGCCCAATTAATGCTATTACTTCACCTTCATGTAGTTGCAGGTAGTTACTGGGAATCCATGAGACCAGATATGAAGCACTAAGTTACATATAGCACCTCTCTTTAAGTTTACATGCCAGGATATAGTCATTGACCACAACCATAATACAGGAGGTGGTACCATGTTGTTTGAAGACTTCTCTTGGGGATAAATCCCTCTTTGTGTTTGTGTGTGTGTGTGTGTGTGTGTATGTAAGAATATATGTACATATATGTATGTATATATTACACATTTGTAATAAACTATGGTAAAATGCATATGAGAATTATAACCTCACTACTATAAACTTTACCAGTTTTATGGAGTTGAGGGGAAGTCTAATCAGGACGTAGAATAAGATATGCTCATGTCCCTCTCATTGGTCACCTTTGACACCAATCTTTTAATTTAAATACTCCAGGGAGGAGTTACTCTCTTCTCTGGTGCCCCATGTCTCACCTAGGACTTTGTACATAGAACTATTTCGGGGTTCATCTTCCATAAGGACTCTGAGACTCTAGAAGTAACTCTCCTTGGAGGGCTAACAATACTCTGAAATTACTGGTACTTGGAGTATGGATATTTTCATTTTGCTAAGATAGTCAATGGTTTATGGCTCTGGATGATGATAAGATTGGGAATTTTTTAAAAAGTATTAATAGGCATAGTAAAATTTACTAAAAATCAGTCATTGACAATAAAATTGTTTATTTTGATTCATGAGATTATTCATATGTCTTTCTCTTTTTATTCTAGTCCTAAAGAATATTCTTACATATAATAAAGAATTCCCATTTGATGTTCAGCCTGTCCCCTTAAGGTAAAATAAATAAGCACCAATATTTGTCTTCTTATTCTATCATCTTATTTTATACCTATTTTTCAGAGATTTCTGGATGTTTTATATCAATGTTGGTATACTGATATCATTAGTAGTAACATACTAGCATTTTATGTCAGCATTTTTTATATCAACATCTTACCTAGGAAATGAGTAGCTATGAGGCTTCTCCAGTATATTTAGTTTTGTAGCTCACTCTTTTTTCTGTCCTTTTGCATGTAGAAGAATTTTAGCACCTGGTGAAGAAGAGAATTTGGAATTTGAAGAAGATGAAGAAGAGGGTGGTGCTGGAGCAGGGTCTCCTGATGCCTTTCCTGCTAGAGTTCCTGGTGAGTATCACTTGTTAAAAATATACATTACTTAACTCAGTACAAGGCCAAGGTGTTTGGAACTTATTTTGGTATTTGCTAGTAGAGAGTAAAACCTCTCCAGGGTTCATGCCAATCTTAAGCAAATGGTCATGTTTTGGGCAGTAGCTGTTTCATAAGTATAGTCTGAAAGTATCTTACTGTCTGTTCTGGGGTTCCAAAGACCACCTTCGCGTTTGGAGATTCGCTAGGAGGACTCACAGGACTCAGCATGTGATTGTGCTCACACTGTGATTTATTCCAGAGAAAGAATACAAAAACAAAGTCAGCAAAGGGAAAAGGTGCATGAGCGAAGTCTGGGGGAAACCCGGTGCAAGCTTCCAAGAGTCCTTTTCCAGCGGAGTCACATAGCTTGTGCTTGATTCCTCTAGTGACAGGTTGTAATGACACACGTGAAGTGTCCACTAGGGAAGCGGGATGCACGTTATAGACTCCATGCCCAGAGCTGTTACTGGCGGCTGATCACATAGACACCCTCTGCCTAGCACTGACCAAAATTCCAGACTCCTAGAAGGAAAGCAGATAATTCAGCATAAACCATGTTGTTTGTAAAAATAACTTAGGCACAGTGACCATTCTTATCAGGGGATAGTAGGAACCCTCCCAAAATCCAGATTCCCAGACTCTAGTCAGGGGTCGACCTTGTACTCAGGCCTTTCTAAGAGTAACAGCCTCAGACCTGCTATGTTAACTCTTTTCTGTACACTGTTGTAAGTACTTCTTTAATTAATCAAATAGTGGTCATTAAAACTGGACCCAGGGAGAATGAATACTAAGCAAATGCCCTTTTCTTCCCATCTTGTTTTAGGAAAGCAAATAACGTATGGCAAGGCTTTTTTGTTTACAGAAGATCTTCCCTCTCTGTCAGGAACCTAGGCAGGCACCCTGGATGCATTTCTTGCTTCTCCCAATGACAGTTTTATTCTGTCCTGTTCTTACACAGCACACGGTTTTCATTCTGGTGAACTGTAATAGCTCACTTCAGTGTACTGTGCTGATCTATCGTGATGTATTTCAAAACAGACGCCAGAAGCTTTAAAGTACAGCTAGGTACAATTTATGTATTACCCTGATAACTTTCTTGGTAATAAAAGTACAGGCAGACCTTGGAGATGCTGCAGGTTTGGTTCCAGACCACCGCAATAAAGTGAGTATTGCAAGAAAGCGAGTCACACAGATTTATTGATTTCCCAGTACGTATAAAAGTTACGTGTACACTATAGTCTGTGTTAAGCGTGTGATAGCATTATGTCTAAAAAAACAAGGTACATACTTTGATTAAAAATATACTTTATTGCTGGGACTTCCTTGGTGGTCCAGTGGTTAAGAAACTGCCTTCCAGCGTGGGGGACTCGGGTTCGATCCCTGCTCAGGGAACTAAGATCCCACATGCCGTGGGGCAGCTAAGCCCGCGTGCCGCAACTACTGAGCCCGTGTGCCACAACTAGAGAGCTCACATGCTGCAACTACATAGCCCACGTGCTCTGGAGTCCATGCACTGCAACTACTGAGCCTGCACGCTCTGGAAACCACGCTCCACAACTAGGGAGGAGCCTGTGTGCCGCAGCCAAGACCCGACACAGCCAGAAATAAATAAATAAACAAATATTAAAAAAAGAAAAAAACTTTATTGTTAAAAAAATGCTAGCCCTCATCTGAACCTTCAGCTAGTTGTAACCTTCTTGCTGGTGGAGAGTTTTGTCTAACGTTGACGGCTGCTGACTGATCAGGGTGGTGGTTGCAGAAGGTTGGGGCAGCTGTGGCACCTTCTTAAAATCAGAGCACAGTGAAGTTTGCCACCTAGGTTGACTCTTCCTTTCACAGTTTCTCTCTAGCATGCAGTGCTATTTAATGGCACTTCACCCATAGTAGAACTTCTTTCAAAATTGGAGTCAAGTCTCTCAAACCTTGCCACTGTCTATCAACTAAGTCTATGTAATGGTCTAAATTTTTTGTTGCCATTTTAACAATCTTCACAGCATCTTTACCAGGAGTAGATTCCATCTCAAGAAACCACTTTCTTTGCTCATCTGTACGAAGCAATTCCTCATCTGTTAAAGTTTTATGAGATGGCAGCGATTCAGTCACATCTTCCGGCTCCACTTCTAAGTCTAGTTCTCTTGCTATTTCCACCACATCTGTGGTTCCAATGGTAACATCAAAGATCAGTGATCACAGATCACTGTAACAATAATGAAAAAGTTTGAAATATTGCAAGAATTATCAAAATGTGACATGAAGTGAACGAATGCTGTCAGAAAAATGGCGCCAGTAGACTGGCTTGCTTGCTTGACACAGGGTTACCACAGATGTTCAATTTGTAAAAAATGAGATATCTGTGAAGTGCAATAAAGTACTACAGTAATAATAGTGATATTCCAGTGTTTATAATGCCCCTTGGGGAGGAGGCATTATGGAGTTGAAGCAACATAGACTTGAACCAACAGACACTGGGCTTGAGTCTAATCTCTGTCCATTACTAGTTGCACCTATTCTTAAACCAGTTTAACCTCAATTTCTTTATTTATAAAATGGGATGATAATCATGCCTACCCATAAGGTTCCTGTGAAGACTAAACAAGGTACAGCATGTAAAGCTTTTAGCACAGTACCTGTCACATGCTGAATATTAGTGAGGTGATTATTCTCATCATCTTTCAATGGAGATAACAATACCTACACTATAGGATTATTGGGACAATTACTGTAGATGGTAGCTCTTATTGTTAATAATGTTTCTTTGGTATAGGGCATTATTCCTAATGTACCTTGCTTTATGAAAAGAGAGATGTATTTTTCTTGTTTTTGTCATATATGTAGGAAATTTCAAAATTGCTGAGACGGTGAGAGAAATTATCTCGCTGTTTTACTAACTGAATAGTTGTTATTCCCTTTGCAAGCCACATATGACCATTGCCGTAGCTTCCAGTACTATAAATTTCTATCTGACTTGGTTGTTTGCTCACTTGCTGCACTTCTGTAGCAAACAAGATCTTTAAAGCAGATGATGTAAGCCATGAAACATACGGATCAAGGTTTTTATGAGGTTCAGGTTGCTGAGTTGAAAAGAAACTTCTGCCATAAATTAAATCCATTTGCTATGTAAGAGTAAGCCCAAACTGAATAGATTTTTGTAAACTGATATAGCATTGTGATGTTTCATTTCAGAGGTACAGAAGGCTTACTGAACCCTTCTATTCTCTGAATTTCTTTTTTGAACGAGTACATGTAGTTTAATTAGCTGTTTTTAGTTTGGGGTCATTATTGTCCACGACCTATAGGTGTCATTAAAAAATGACTCGTAAAATTATATTCATTGACATCATCAAAATAACAAGATGGCATTTAACCTTTAACTTAACTGTAAAGCAGGAAACGTTTTATTTTCCTTGTTATTCTGAGAGAATCCAAGATTTTAGTTATGCCTAGGCTGTGTTTGCATTTGGTGGCAAGATAGTTCTGGGAATTGTTGTGACTTTTAATTTATTATCTTTGTTTTTATATAAGTTACTGAATTGTAAGTTTGTTGTGACTTTTTTTGAAAGTCACGTTTATTGAGGTGTCACTTACATATACAACATTCACCCTTTTTAGTGTGCAGGTTTATGCGTGCTGACAAACGCCTACAGGCCTGTAACCAGCACCCCTGTGAGGCTGATGAGGAATAAGGTATGGTGTGCAGATGTGGTAGGACCCAGAATCGTTTTTTCCCATTTAAAACCGAAAGCGACTTTTTAGCCAGCCTTTAATGGGGGGAGGGGGGGAGGTAGATATTATCTTACCTTTTTTGATATTAATCTTTTTCCTTTTCAAAATTTAAAAAACTCATATGGCAAACATCATAAATTTTTGTTAAGTAATTGGATTAAGCCAAAGTAGGATTTAATTCTTCTAAAGGTAGGCTTGGTAGATTTCATTTAAATCAAGGATATAAATTTATAACGTGTTTTTTATGGCCTAAAAATGTATTGACATTGCTGAATATAAAGCTCTTAAAATCATAAGCCCAATAAATATGAATAAAAAATAGCCAAGACACAATTTTCAAGATTTTAAAAAACATTTTTTTACTGAATGACGTGATTAAATTCAAACATAGGCTTAGCAGGTTCAAAATTATACAAATGTGTTGGTTTTTTGAGCTCTTATATAGGCTTAAATATGCATAAAACATGTTTATTTTTGAAACTAAAAATAAAGAATGAAATTTACCTCTTCAGCGTGAAACCTGTGCTTGGGTTTTCCTGCACAAGTACTCGATTCTGAGTTGAACTTGAGAGATAAGCAAACATGAATTTCATTTTCAGTTGAAATGAAGTTTTTTCTTGCTCACACATATAAGAAGTTGAAAATTGCAGCAAAATGTTCATTGCTTTCCTATGACTATCAGGGCATCCTTCTTTCACAGAAATCCAGAGCATGCCTAGGGGCACAGCGGTGAATATCATCTCAAGGGTACGGTTAGACCACAGCTCACTAAGTTCTTTTTCTTCTCCCAAAATCTCAAGTTCTCAGGCTGTGCAGAGGAATCAGAGAAAGTGTTCCTCACCCAGGCATTTATTAGTATGTAAAGGGAAGGAAAATAACTCTTTGATTTTGTTCTCTTGTTCTCCAGACTGGTTTTTAATAAGATGTAAGACTTATTTATATTTTCTCTCTCTCTCAAGCCCAAGTAGTCATGGAAGTATTTCAGGATTTCCTTTTAAAGTTAATTCTTTTTCTTTTAAATCCAAGAATCCTGTCACTTGAAGTTAAAGGGCTTTCTTCAGAGCTTTGCAGAGACTGGTTCATATGAAATGTCTGTTAAGTATGCTACCTCCTGCAGCCCTCATCTTCAAAGCACCCGGCAACATCTGGCCTCCTTTCTTGAAAGTACTCTGGCAATTCAACCTTGCAACTCAGACACCTGTGGGGAACTCTCCCTTGCTTGCTGTAGGGAATGATGGATTGCCCTTTTTAAA